TCCGTGATCTAGTCGGATGCTCTAACCACTGAGCTACAAGAGACTCTATGGTGAGCAAGGGTCAATAAGTGGGTATTGACTGGAACCGCATCATGTGGCTACACAGCCAAACATCAGCTAGCTCATAGAAGCTCACCAACAGCATCACGCTGTCACATTAAAGCATCACATGCATTAGAGCATCTGAGCATCCGACTAGATCACGAAGGGTCGTGGGTTCAAATCCCATCTGGAAACTCGATTTTTCTCTTATATTAAAAATTGTTTATTTCATCTTTACATGCTCACTTTGGGGGCTGGTTGGCTGCATGTGATGCTTTAATGCATGTGATGCTTTAATGTGACAGCGTGATGCTGTTAGTGAGCTTCTATGCGCTAGCTGATGTTTGGCTCATAGAGTCTCCTGTAGCTCAGTGGTTAGAGCATCTGACTAGATCACGGAGGGTCATGGGTTCAAATCTTATCTGGAAACTTGATAATTTTAGAGATGGATCTGTAAAAAGAGAGTGGATGGTTCAAGCCTTTTAATTTTTAGTATCAATCACATGAAGCAACCATTTTTGACAAAGCTGACTGACTGAGGTACCCAGAAACCCCTTGTTGAAAAATTAACATTAAAAAAATGTAACATCGGGCTAATTTTAGATGCTAAATAATTTTGTTTTGATTGTGATCAATTTCCAGTCTATCCCTCGAAAGCAGATGAGGAAGACAGGGATGAGATCGAAAGAGGTTTCCCAGATGAGGAAGAAGAGATGGAGGATATGGATGAAACTTCTGAAGATGAACCATCTGCCTCTGGACAAGATCCAGCTGGTTGGTATATATATTCTTGTGTCCTTTACTATCAATATCATCATGATAATCATAATAAAAATTATCATTATAATGATAATTACTGTGATATGACTTGTTCCCCAACCTTAGCTCTGTTGAATGACAGAGGAAAGGACAAAAGTTGTACTAGATAAACTCAGACTGCTAGTCTACTTTGGATTGATTCAAATTAAGTCACATTGGCTTGGAACATAACAAATAACTAAAACTAGAGGAAACCACAGCTTCTTCCAAGTTAATCCAACTTGGACTGGCAATCTGAATTGATTTGATCCAACTTTTGTACCTACCTAATCATCAAGTGATGATTAGTACTCTCCCAGTGTCTCTCTCTATCAAGGAGTGTGAATGGGTACCAGTGAACTGTCATTGAGACCCAATCAAAATTTATTGTAGGGTGGGTAGTTACCTGTAATAGACTTGCATACCCTCACAACACCTCTAGTTGCTAAGTGGAAACCGGGATAACCCTGTTACAGTATTGGCCCTTTTACTTTGCCATCCCTTGATATGCTTAAACATGTTTTCTTGCTGTATTTACTATTAAATAGAATACACTGTTAATTTAGTTTGGATTCATTTTTTTCTGTGATAGTGAAAAAAGGCAATCCTGAAAATGATGAATTAGAACAACTGGCCAATGACATTGATCCTAGTTATTGGACGAAAGTTGGAAGAAAGTTAAAGATCGATGATCCAAAGATCACAGCAATAGATAAGGAAAATGAGGAATTTTCTGAAAAGAAATATAAAATGCTGCTACACTGGAAGCAGAAAAATGGAAGACATGCTACATGGAAGGAGCTGTATCAGGCATTAGTGAATGTTAATCTGAGGGATTCAGCAGAAAAACACTGCTGCAAAGAAATGAATTGAACCAAACACTGTGTAAAAGATATTTCATACTTAAGTGAACATTTTGCTCCTGCATACAAAAAGTATTTGTTAGTTAGCCTGGTGATGTCTCCTTACAGGATTGGTCGCTCTCTAGCTGCACTACTATTTTCAAACAGATTTTCTTGAGATTTATGATGATGAAACCAGGAAATGTTCATTTCAGTTCGGCAAAGATGGAACTTGAAGCTACCCGAGTGTGTAGCTTTCCTTTTCAGTACGTGTCATACTATTTATAAACATTTCCAGCAGTAGGTGTTTCTGTTTTCTGTAAATTCTACTTTTTAACATCCTCATATGCTGATTAGACATCAATTTAGTCTTTATTTTCTGAAAAAAAAAGTCCGTATTTTTACTCAGTCTGATTTACATATCTCTTTAGTTATTCTTTTACACGGTAGTGTACTTTCTAGCCCTCAGGTTTGACTTTGTTAATTTAATTTGCTTCTGTCGCGCACCTTTCACAATTTCGTACGACAACGGTCTTAAATTAACTAAGAGAAAAATTTTCAAGAGCTCATGGTAAAGATGGTTAATTAGTTTAAAGTTTTTAAACGAAGAGCCGAATAGACAAACTTGATTAAACTAAATAACTTTCACCCGCAAAGCCGATGAACGTTAACATCGCACGTGGCACTTGCGAGGACCTTTAGCTCGAGAGCGAACTGGAACATCTCTCTTTGATATTTATATACTGTCAGCTAGGTCAGATATAACAGAATTTCTTACCCCAAAACTCCGTGAAAGGTAAGAGATGATAAAATGGCCGTCAGCTACATTCGAATACTTCGAGATATTATTAAGTGTATAAACAGGTTAAAAACACTGGAGTTTTTTCTAGAGACTAACAAGTGCTTGTCACAATTTTGTAGCAGTTCTGGTCATTTTAAACACCTAATCTTTATGCCTTTAGTGGTCAGCGTTTGATTGCGAGGTCCTCAGTTTGACGTTTGGTACCCTTACCTTTCAGAAAAATCTGACATGAAGCTGATACACCAGCAAATTTTATCTCTCTCTGTTTTAACTAAGGCCTAAAGAATGACGCACTATTAAACTCAATTCTCTCACATTCCGTGGCTTGCAATGATGCTGTTAAACAAGCTTTATCGCTCGAAAAATCATAACATAACCTTTCGAGCCCCCACCAGCGGCCACCTCTCCACAACGACAGCTTTTTTTCTTTTCTGTCTTCAAGGCGGCGGTTGTGTAGAGGTTAAACTGTATGAAAATAGAAACGGGATTGACATTGTACATGCATAAGGCCCTGTTGTTTAACCACCAGTTACATACATTTTATTGAACACATCCTCGTCTGGGGCTTTTCAGTGAACAATTACATAATTTACATACTTGATACTATACATACAAAACTAACTAATAACACGTTAAATACAATATATGTTACTTAGAACTTTAAGAATAGAATGGTTATTTAAATAAAAAAAATCATTCAGGAAATGCCTTTTCAAAGCTCTCTTAAAAGAAGCTGGTTTTTCACATAGTTTCAATCTTGAGTCAAGTTTATTCCAGATGGCTACACTTCTATGATTAAAGATCCTCTGACCTGTTGTAGTTTTAAAAAGGGGAATGTTAAGTTGTCGAAAGATTCTAGTNCGTAGATTCCTTAATGTGGAAGAAATATGATCATACTTCTTTACATTGCAAATAAGTCGGGCGGCAAAATTTTGAACATATTGTAGCTTATGAACATTGCAAGCTGATGTGGACGACCTTACTGACGAACAGCAGGACATCTTACTAAAAACAAGTGCGTTAATTATAGTTTCAAGCAGATCTTTGTTAAAAGCGAATCTAATGCGGCTTAGTTGGGATAGTTTCAACATGCAAGATGAGACAGTCGCAGAGATATGATTGTCAAAGGATAGTGTGGGATCGAAAATAACACCAAGATCCTTGACTGTTTGAGCTGGGATAATTTCCTTTCCGAGCAGGGACAACTTGAAGTCTGGAACTTTAAGAGACATTCTTCGACTGCCAAAGACCATAAGTTTAGTCTTCTCAGGATTAAGCAATTGTCGAAACACCAATCGCGTATACGTTGTAGATCAGAGTTCACTCTTTCTATAGCTTGGGCAGAATCATTCGCACTAAAGGATAATAGAAGCTTTGTGTCGTCCACATAGCATTCAATTGAACAATTCTGACAGATGTTTGGTCGTTTACATAAATGCTAAATAATAATGCTCCTAGTACACTCCCTTGCGCTACACCACTTACTACTGGTAATCTATCAGATAATACAGAGTTGATGCGGACTGCTTGTTTTCTTTGAGAAAGATAGCTTCCGAACCATTGAAGTGTTGAAGATGATAAACCAATGTCCTTTAGTTTCTTTAGAAGAATCACGTGGTTGACAGTGTTAAAGGCTTTACTCATATCAAGATATACGACTGCAGTGATTTTCTTTCTGACTCGCCGGGCATGGCGAGGATTTTTCAAAGTTGGGGGGGGGGGGACTTCCTTGTTATGTTTTTCGAAAAGTGAAATTTTCTAAGATGAGGAGTATGTGTGTGTGTGTTTGGTTTTGAGGGGAAGGGGAGGGGGAGGGGAAGAGACCGGCTTACTAATTCAGCTGTATCAGGTAAATATCTACCACTAGCGAATATTTTTGTTATGCATGATCTTCGGATGCACACGTTTCCGCCACCTGAATTAGATGGCTTTGTTATTGTTTACCAGAAAAATGTCTTGCAAGGCGGGAAGGTGGGGTTGTGCAGACAAGCTAATTCGTACCCATATCCTATCGAGTAACCGAAATGTGGGCTTGGCCGTGGAAGGCCTGCTGGATACTAAACTAGGGTTGAGCATCGTAGCGCGAAATCTTATTCGGCAGGAACTCGACAGATTTTTCTTTGTAACACGCTAGTGACAGAAGCTCTGTCTCATCGTGCTTTTTGTTGCTTCACTTAATTTCGGAATTGCTCTTAGAATACTTGCATAATTCATGCATTTTTCTCGGCTTCTCTATGATGCTGTGTCTCATGGGATAGCGTTCTTCCGGGTTTGCTAATATGTTACCATTCAGTAGTCCAGTAGTTCAAAAAATGTGTTGTCACGATATCATGGAATTTTCACGAGAGATATGTGATAAATTAACTTGATTTTTACCTCTCAAAAAGGTATGAAAGATCGCTGAAAAGTTTCTTTAATTTATGACATATTTTACTTAGCTTCCTATTTGACTTTGTTACGATCATCGATGGAGCCTTCGCTTCGAAAAGTATTGTTTCCAATCGCCACCCGTAAGATTCCTCTTATATCCTTTTTATGACACGCTTGTCTTATACAACTTTGTAAATAAGTGTAAGGTAGGCATATAAGTGAAAGAGCTTTGTTGTTTGTTCGAAGCTGTGGATCATGGATTTCTGAAAATGAGAAAATACGGGGACAAACCATTCGGCACTTTCCAAGACATTTGCCTAGATTTAAACAATGGGCCATTCCATTTAATATCCCCACCTCCCCTATTGAAGGCCCAAGGCCTCTTAGGGGAAGGGGGATCAGGCTACATATTTCTTGGGGGGTTGAATCATATTTCCCAGAGGGGGTCGCCATATATTGGAGGGGTAAAAAGTAAGGCGAAACTTTTTTTTTTTTTTATCATTTAAATTGTTTAATGTTCACCACGATAGGTGGTAAGACTTCGGCTCCATATAAGTCGACTAGTCTCCCGATTAGTAGTTGAAGGTTTCAAAATGGCTGAGCATTCACTTTCTGATTTTTTTCAAATTTCCATTTCATCGGTCATAATCGTAGAAACGTCGAAAAGTATGAGTTTTTCGTTGGCGTTTCTTACGATTTTTTCTTTGAGTGTGTCTGTTAACCAACGCTTCACGGGGCGATTCTTTAATGGGATCGTGGAGTGACATCGTAAAAAAAAAAAGGCTGCGCACTTTCCAGGTTCAGCTGCCAGGATATGGTAATTGAACCGCGCACTCGATTACTTCTTTCCTTGCATTTAAAGGATTCCAAAGCCTAAAAAGTGGAAGGAAATAGTGGCAATATAAAACGTACAGTAATTAATAGTAATTAAAAGTAGTAACAAATAAGTAAATTAATTTAGATAATTAATAATGGATATAAAGTTGATTTAAATGTTTCATCGATTAAAAGAAGTCTTAGAGCAAGTGAAGATACAGTATGATCTCAAAAGGACAAAGTTGCAAAAAAATGAACCAGGAAAGAGTTAGGAAAAGTTGAATTTGTAATTTGGCTTAAGCGCATGCAACAGTGACATTCAATTGACTGCAATACCCTTTTAAAACACCTGTAATACACGAATAACTCACGACATGCTTTTTAGGCAATCTCAAGAGGAGAACGTTTTCAGAATCTTATTGATTCATGCAGATAAATGGAACGAACAGAATGAAATGTTTCGCACTTTTAGAAAGGGGAGTCTTAGAGCAGAATTTTTTCTTTTCCTTTCAAGATCAAAGTGCCACAATAGTCCTAATCAAAAAGTAGATTATTGGGGAAAACAGTAAACTACAGATACTTTGTCAAGTGTAGGTCCCTCAAACATCATCACCCTAAATGCTACCGCCTAAAGGAGGCAAATTCTTGCACTAAATCGCGGATGAAATGGCATAAAAATGATAAAAAGGAGTGCACTTTTTTTTTCTTCACTTCCACATTACTTTGAAAAAAATCCCTTAACCAAACTGCAAACCAGGGCTGGTAAGAGGGGAGATAATTTCAACTGGTAGAGCGTTTTCATCAAAATGAAGTATCTGCAAAGTGAAAGTTCCATACTCTACTTAATGACTTTACTTAAGATCAAATTAACCAACTTTCTTAAACCCAAAATTGGCTGACCTGAGTCCAAGGTTTCAATTTTTCTGCAAAGAGAAGGAACATCATCAACAAAATATTCACAACTTGCGCCACGATCCAAGCTCCTTAATAGAAGGTAGTGACCACAGTCATCATGGTGACAGTCGTTCTGTCCGTGCCATATGCAAATGCCAGTACCCACGCGACTCTCATCCGGACAAGGCTCACACAAAGGGCATTTTACACACAATTCCCACGTAACTGACCGTAGCCAATGACAGGTGACGTTAAGTTCAGACCTGCAGTGTTCCAGGTGACTGAAAAAGAACGAAACCAACAGAATCAACATAAACAACTCGAATGACGTAAGTATTGTACTTGGTATGGAGAATCTAAGTGAAGTTAGTCAACTTTACTGGAAAACCTAGAGGGGCTTCATATCTAAAATAAATTAGGAGTCTTTCTCTAACCGATAAATTCCGGCGTAATCATCATTTGTATACTGTGTGTGATTGTCCAGTGATTTGCTCTAATGATTGAACGCATTACTATGGTTTGAAGATCGGCAACAGCGATAAAAGCTTACAAACAAATAAATTAATAAATAAACAACTTCTACATCTTATAATCATTCAGCTTACATGTAGTCAAACAAACAACGCTTTAAGATCTCGCCAATTTACAAATTTAAAACCCAAAGTAAGCTTCCTTCGCTTTGAAATGAAGCTCATTTTGATTTTAGGAGTTTTGCGTTACACCAGAAAAACACGGCAGTAAGAAAAGCTGTTTGGCACCTGAAAGGATGTCTATTCTTCTAATTATTCCTCATTGGAGGGTTTAGCATTTAAGGATCCCGATCGATTCAGAAGCAAAATTCTGCTTTATCTTCACTTGTGATATGAAAAATGTTCTCTGATTTCTTTAAATACGGTGGTCTAGTTGATACTACTATACCCCTTCTAACTGAGTTACGAAAAAGAACTAAGGACAACTATAACTTGCCTCAATAATTTTTCACAAAGACTTTGCTCTTCCTTTCTGTCAGAGTCACACGTTGTCCAAATTGCCAACTTGATCACAGTTCTGTAGCACTTCAATGTGAGGTGGTAATCCTTGCTGACTTGAAATCGGGCGGCGTTTGCATAAAACGCAGGAGCTTTGCAGTGGGGATATAACTTTGAGGTCCAATCCCAAAAAAGTACAACTAATCTACAAAACAGCCCACTTGGAATGTACTTAGTGTCAGATTTGAGAAACACTGGTAAAGGACCATTTTGAACTTTTGTTCCTCTCGTATTCTTCATTGGTAATCTCAGCATACATGGTACAAAGTAAGGGTACTCTTCCCCATTGCAGTTCTTAGAGTCGCAAATAACAACAAACTTTTTCATGATGTGGATCAGCGGGTCCATGATATCTTCCAATTTCAGATTTTGAAATGCTCGATTTAGCAACTGCTGTGAAAGCAGCCCTCTTCTTTCAAGGAATTTGTAATCTTTCTGAATACTGGGGTCGTTTTTCCACGGTGGACTCACCATAATTATCTCACTAAGTACTCGGATTAACCACTGTGGATCGAGCACGACCAAACCATCTGGGTTTTCACGGAGGTCTTGGTAGATAACACTTCCACGGGCTTGCAAAAAGTGTAGCAATTCTTCAACGTCATCCATGCTGTTAAACTGGCAAATGCCTTCAGCAATGTCTTCTTTGAAACTCTTTTTACGCACATACCGAACCTGACTATCTGTTACCATCTGGTGGATTTTTTCCTCAATACGGAGCCACTGCAGAGGGATTTCATTGTTGATATGTGGCATCCTTTCACTCAAATCCAATAATTCCTTACGGAATGAAACGATTTGTGGGTCGTCCTCTCTGTTTGGATTTGAATTATCTATGAAGAACGATTCTTGTGAAATGTGTTTTCCAGTTGCGAGAGAAGCCTTGTCGCAAATGGTTTTGAACACGAAATCCATCTTTTCCCGAGGATTCGTTACATCATTTGCATGTGTACCGACAAGAACAACAGGAGGTAATGAAGCTGGGGGTGCGTTACTGGGAAAAATATCCCTCCAGCTTTCTGACTTTTTTTGAACCTTTCGACTTGCCAAAGAATGCACCAGATCTAACCACCTCATCATGTGATCAAGATTTGTGTCCTCGTCAAGAGGTGACTCAACCACTACTTCATCGTTATTATGCGTCCTCACCCGACATTGAGCAGGAGAGCATAATTCCTGGGTAAGATCTGACACTAGAACATATAAGTCTTCTTACGATAGGAAAATAGGATGAATGGCATGGTAAACTGCCTGGCCGGCGAAATCCCAAACAATAGGCCAGATGTCCTCATTTTTGGAGGTGTAATTTCCCTCGAGGCCACGCTCGATGAGGAAGAGTACTTTCTCCGGTATTTCTTCTGGTATTTGTTCCTTTTTGACATCCTGGGTACCTAACATCGAAATTTTGTTTTGTTAATTTTTTTGCTATGGTTAAAAACATTCTCCCTGCGTACACAACACACAGTAGCAAATCACTTAGCTGCCACTTTTCTCCTCGAGCTCCTACGATGATCTATCGGGAAAGGCAAGATAACGGGAACTCTGGCAGAATAATAAATAAATATAATAAACAGTTTTTAACGTGGAGAAACACTTTGCTAGAAGCTAGTTTACAGGTTTTCCAACAAACAACTGAAAGAGATAAATCAAATTGAAAATAACATTATTAAGAATCCCAACTGGCCGAAGGCAAACCAGTTGGCTATCTTACAAGTATGGCCGAGCATTTGAAACTCGGGGCTACCGTGAAACAAATCCAGGTAGTGGCCAGGGTGGGACTTGGACCCGGGAGCGGTGGATCGCAAGTCCGACACGCTGACCACTGACGACGAGTAGGTATAAATGGCTAATTTTGTAATACGTCGAGGCCATTACGCGATGACCATTTCAAAACAGACCTTACGTGAGGAGAGAGGTTTATCGGTATATTTCAAAACATATTTCCGAGTAATTCTCCCCAATACTTACATCTACCTTACATGAAATTATCTTAATCCATATATGATAAAACTGAGGTGAAAAATCGTTGATCTCTCTCAAAAATCGGTTTTTTGAACATTGAAACTGCCTTTCGCCATACATTTCTTTCTAGCGGGCTGCAATGTTTGCCCTGGGGCGATCCCAGAGATCTTTGCGTAAACGCAAGGATCCGGTTACTGGCAACTCATTCATTTCGTTTTCTTTTCCTTTTTTTTTTTTCAGTTTAACTGCATTATCAATTTTTGTTTTGTTGGTCTATTCAAAATTCTCTTTAATACAACTATAGGCCGCCCTAGACTTTCTCACAAAATACTCTTTGTGGCGGTGTTTAGCCCGAGAGGGCAAAGTTAGAGCAAAATGTGGATGAAACTGTTTCGTGTCACTTACAAGTATATGCTTTTTCTTCGTTTACCAGGGTAGAAATGAATACGTTCTTAGAAAAAGAGGAAAGCTTGCACTAACAACCTCCAAATGAACTCTCTTTCTATAATCAATAATTAAAATTGTCAATTTAGATTAAAGGAAAAGTCTTCTGCTAACTCTAAGCACTACGATTTGCCATCAGCTAGAAGAGATCTTCCCATCTCAGCAGAAATTGTACACGAGAGCAAACAAAAAAAGAAAACAAATCAGAAAGAACATTTAAGGGGCGCTGCAGTGACAACAGACGTTATTTCAATGTCCACCGTTAGGACCAAGTGGGAGAAGTTTGAGTTACGTATTAGTTTCAACTTACTTCCAATTGATTCTGACAAAACTAGTTCTGAGGTTTCATGTATAAGTAGTTTACTTGGAGTTTCTTGTGTTACTTTTTGTGTTTCCCTTCTTTCTTCAATGAACAGCTGAGCGGAAGTTTTAGAGCTACTGGATATCTTCTCGGTAACCACTTCAGCAAACTTGTGGTGAAATGCACTTGTGGTCTTTAAATCAGCAGGATTTTTCCATGCACCTGTTTCTGCGTTCTTGATAGATGGAATCATTTCAATTCCATCAGTGCTTGGTTCCTGTTCATTGAATGTTTCACCTACGAGGTATCTTCTAAGGCTTGTTTTACCACTACGGTCCTGACCAATCAACACTATTTTGATACGTCTATCGTAGGTTTTGCCTTTCTCTAGTGCTCTCTTGTATGCGGCTAGTGCCACTAGTCCTCTTGCCAACACATATGGGGGGATTGAATCTGTAATAGTTCAATACGTCAATAAGTCAAATAAATGAATCTTCTACCCAAAGAATGCTATCCACGTGGATCTTTTATATTGCATAACAAATCCAAAAGTAATCAGTGCTCAATGGGTACATTCAAACAGTCTTATGTGTCAATTGTAAGGAGTCTGTTTTTAAAGGGATTTTGAGAGCTCATCTCCCGTCTATCATTCATAGGACTCTAACCCTTAGAAGACCAAGGGCTCGTTATTTCTTCATTTGTAATTTGGCGAGACACACTTCACTTTTTTTGTCCTTATATAGAGTATCCGTTACAATATTTGCGGTTTCGAGACACTTGGGGCTCAGACTTGAGGGTCACGTGACCTAGACAACATTTCGTGTTTCGAGAAGTTGAAATCGATTCGGTTTCTCGCCGTTTATAAGTTTTGTTCGAGCCATTTCCCTCTACAGAAGCCCCCATGTCGGCATCATTAAGCTGGAATGTGGGTAAAGGCAAGTCTCTGAATGAAAACAGAGGTGAGAGATGGTTTCATGTAGACTGGACCGCCAACGATGCTTTACTACCAGCTTGGCGAGTTCACAAGTGAAGTTGTCTCTCTGGCCCATCTGTGGATGGCTTCCAGGACCTACAAAGGCTATGCGGACTAGTTTTGACTGGTAAAAATTTCAATCGATGCGATATTTTGCTGGTAGGACTGGATGGCCCGACACTTATAACAATTCTTTGATATGGAAATGATGAGAGTTGCCTTTTCGAGTTATGGCGGAATTACCCAGGATTATTTTCGGGCATGAACAAGGCAACGGTTGTGTTCGCGACACTGGCTTTCATGAAATGGAGAAAGAAGGGCTGGCAGATAAAGTGAGGAGGAATTTTCTAGCCAAACTCCAAGATCTGGCCTGAGGTGTGACTTGAACGCAAACTTTTGATTTTTTTATTAAAAGATTGACACGTTTTTGGTGTTGCTCATGGAGCAAAATGCTGGACTTTGGGATTTGTTGCCATACGAACGGTTCACTGCAATGAAAATCAGGAATCATTGTGGGCGTTTTAGGTTGCAATAGGTGTCACATCAACCAGCCGGTTCAATCTACACACTTACATAATGTTGTCTCTTAAGTTCAACAAGAAACAAGTATCAAAAGTAGTAACAGTATTATCTAGACATGTGTCCACTTAGTGTGCAAAGGGTTAAAAATCCATTTCCAGTCTTGACGCGACGCGCCGTGACCTATTTCCTGTAACATGAGATTCAAAACCTCCAAAATCGTCTTTCTCATGAGCCATCCTGGAAATATAGTCAATTGTTTTACGGTAAATACATTCGCCTCTTGTCATTTTAGAGTCTTCTTGCAGTATTTTGCATTTAGTTCATATCTAATTGGAAGTTGTGCTGTTCGAAGTGGATAGTTTCGAACAATATGTTAAATCAGGCCAACTCTTGCGGGATCTGTTCGCAAGATGAAAGCGCCCCCAATACACCTTTCATGGACAAAACAAAGAACCACATCCGTCTCATATCAAACTGGATGCCACCAGTTCAGCCTTCTACTGACCTTGAGAGCTACTTGGAGAGATTACTGTATCCAAGCCAAAAACTAATTTGTAACGCAATGAGGTCACGGCTCTAAAAGAGTTGAAAAACAACTCTACTTTAAACCACTAAAAAGCAACGCAACAACGGTCATCAGGAATAAGAGAGAAAAAAACAAAAGAAGCCAAAATGCAACTCAACACCCGAGTCCACTACAAACCTCTCGCGGCATCGATAGTAAAAACCACACAGGAAAGGGCAACTTCCTTCCCAGGGTCTCATTTTCCTCGTCATCTTCATTTTCTTAGTCATCTTCAAATGGAAGCTATCGTTGTTCAGGTCGCCATGTTTTATGGCAGCCTTCAAGTCTCAGAGTTGGTATTATAACCTCAATTTAAAACTCAAAACAAGTCGAGTGTTTAGAAGCGATATATTCGGGGGGAGACTTTGTGGCCGTTTTACCGACGGGATAGGATAAATCTTTGATTTTTCATCTTCTTTCTTCACTCTTCTTCGAGAAGTTAAACAGTCAACGAAGTGTACCTTCCTTGTCATTTCGGCTTTGAACACCTTCATTAAAGATCAAATAAGAACGAGCACAGGCAGCCGTAGATTTATTTGTGACTAAATTGAACACTGGCACTGATGTCAAATTATGTAATGAAAGGAAAGCGAACAAGTACGCGAAATCGCGTGCACATATTTTTCCTCTTCTGAAGGAGATAGGCACTAGAAAAAGTGAGATCGGTTAGACGAGCACAAAAAAAAAATTTGTGAGAATTTTCCTGATCATGGACAGTGTCTTCGCAAACATATCCGACAGCGGCTGAGTCAATCGAAGATAGCTCATTCTGAAAGAAATTTGTCACCTTTCGTAAAAATATTCGCAACTCAGAAGCAGCAAAGAAGTATCTGGGACCGTCGAGACGTAACTAAAAGCAACCCTGGCAAAACACCATCGAAGATACAGTTGTTTACCTCTTTTCCAGGCAAAGACTGCATCTGTGTTGATACTGTTACGAAATTTAGACCGCGACGGCTACTCTCAGATTCCCTTGCATCATGGCCAAGGTGCGTAGCACAGATTGTGATATTTCTGTACATCTCTTTACCGTTTCGATAAAGGCTGGTTTCGATACAACTCTGAGTTTCACTTATCACCGTTTTGAAGGAAATAAAATTTTTCAAGCGTCTTTCGCCAAGCCTTCTCCAGGGGGCCGGAAGATGACAGACCCTGGGAACGAGGTTGAGGAAACGGTTATGAGATCATTGACCAAATGCATCAGCTGAAACACATTGACGACATGACTAAGAAATGGCTTTCACAAACTCCTAATTCGCCTTAGCACACTTTTGCTAATTCATAAGATATTTACTACTTCAAAATAGGAATGTGAAGGCTCTGGATTTGAAGAGTATTTTTTTCTCTACTTAGTACTATTGAATTGGTACATAAGATTATTATTGAATTGGTACATAAGATTATTATCAGGTGTCTCGCAAACGCAAACCGCAGACCTCGAAAACGCAGACCTCGAAAACGCAGACCTCGAAAACGCAGATCTCGCAAACACAGACCACGAAAAATCTGTTTTCGACACTTTTTGAAGAGAACCGTGGTTGTGAAACAATTATTCGGCGAGGGAGACTTGGTCAGTAACAAGCATTACGCGCGACCGGAAGTCGGCAAAGATCAGTTTGAAGATTTGTTTCGTGTTGAGCCAGTGGTCTGCAAACCAACAATCGACTGAGAACCGAGATGAGTTACATCGTTTTGCAAACGCCAGTCTGTGCAGCCGTTTTAAATATTCTCCTAAAAAAAAAATCCTTTTTTGACCTCACCACATGTCGAAAACAAAATTTTCGAGGTCTGCATTTTCGAGACACCCTGAAGGGCGCACTCTTTTCTATTAATCGCGGAATCGACTACGAAATCAAGAGAATTAAAATTCCTGGTTTTTTTTGGGTCTTCGTTTTCGTAATGGATCTTCGTTTTCGTAGGGGGGCCTTCGTTTTCGTAGGGGGTCTTAGGTTTTCGTTTTCGTAACTACCGCTATAATGATGGAATACTAGTGTTTTGATTTCCTACCATTCGGTCTTGATGTTCAGGTTTCAGATCTCCTCGAATTCTTGCATTGCCTCGATAGAATACTAGCAGGCGAAGCCTTTCAACATTTTTTACCGGTTTTTTCCCAAGGCAGCAATTGCTACCACCGAGGGTCTTGAATTTTTACATTCAAGGAATGTGGTACACCGCGACTTGAAACCAGGGAATGTCTATTTAAGGAGCCATATAAGGTTTTGTCCCGCGCTCAACGTTGGACGTCTGTTGGTGAATTATCGGAGTAAGTATTATTGAAGTAACCGAGAGCGGCTTTGACCAAAATCTGTTAGTTTGCAGACCACTGGCTCAACACGAAACAAATCTTCAAATTGACCTTTGCCGACTTCCGGTCGCGCATAATGCTTGCACAGGCGGCCCAAGCTCTCTTTGAGAACCACATAGGGAACACAATTTGCATATTTATAAGGTTTTGTATGGGATTTTCTACAAGATATCCACAGAGATAGTTAAAAGTGAAAATATTGAATAAAAATGGCTTACCTTGTTCCATACGTGTGTTGTTTGCTCCTGGTGTCGTTGTTTTACCGATTTCACTTGATTTAAGCGGTTTTTTTTTAATCCTGGTTTTCTACCACATAAAGAGAAGACAAGCTTATGGAACAAGGTAAGCCTTTTCATTTAATATTTTCACTTTTAACCATCTCTGTCGATATCTTGTAGAAAATCCCATACAAAACCTTATAAATATGCAAATTGTGTTCCTTGTGTGGTTCTCAAAGAGAGCTTGGGCAGCCTGTGATGCTTGTTTCTGAACAAGTCTCCCTCGCCGAAAAATTGCTTCACAAACACGGTTCTCTTCAAATGTCAAAAAAAAAAAAAAAAACCCAGAGTTTTCGAGGTCCTTCAATCGAACGCTAGTACATAGGTAGGCAAGTCATTTATGCTCGTTCGAGAAGTGCAGTTAGTAGGGTAGTGCGTTGATACGCTAGTGACACCGTTATCACCGTTATCACCGTTATGGCTGAGACGCTAGTCATTCCCGTATGAGAAATATAATTCTAATCGCAGTAGTCGCTAGCGCGATGGTACGCTAGCTGGCTTCTGGACTAAAACATAAACAAATACTGTACATTGCTGCATACACAATGTTAGTACTGTAGTACTGGTGAATAAACAAATACTAAAGGAGAGCGTGCTTAATAGATGCTGTTAGTACTGTAGTACTGATGAATAAGAAAAAGTTTATTGAAAGGCATTCCTATAATGGGCAGCTAGTGTGCAACGACATTGCCAGTTAAAAATAAAATTCAGCAAATAGAAATGACTAGACTAACGAGTTGATAAAAATAACCCTTTTTTATCTAAATATCTAGATTAGAAATAACTTTATAAGTCAGAGAAAGAAAACACAGTTAAGCTAATTTGTACTGATTTATGAATGCTTTGATCCTTGTTACCTTAGTCTTTTTTTTTTTTAAATTCATTATCACTATTTTAGGGTTGTTGCTAATTCCCGGAAAAAATTACAATAAGATTAAATTACTTATTAAAATCTGATTGGCCTTTTTGCTATTCTTCTGATCGACGAAGCTATATTGCTAGTAGGGTGTATATGACTTCTACATCACTTTACCGTATCATAACGAGTCACAATTAGCCTCTTTGTTTACTTACTTGTATTCACAGATTCTTCACTTTCTTCACTAGTTAATGGGCACTGTTTGGGAAGAGCTTCTCGTCTCTTCTTTGCTTTGGGTCCATCTTCATTTTCTCTCCCCTCCTTAGTAACTAGTTGAGCGGTAAAAAAAAATAATAATCAAATCTAATGCGCATAAATTGACTAGCACCAGTTGGGTATATGAAGTCAATATTATAAAATTCAAATATCTCCAAATGAACAAGTGGTTCACTTTATAAGTACTTACTAACACCCACTAAAAACTTCGTGTGAGAAGAACAGTCTTTTCCACTGCCCTGATAGCTCTTCATATCAAGGGTGGAAGTTAAAAATCATCTCATGCAAACAAATTCAGTCTTAAGCTCTTATGCTGAAGTTAAAATTTCCAGCAGAATAAACAGTCATTTTTATCTTTTAATTAAATAGGTTGTTGTGCAATCAAGTCCAGACTGATAAGATTCAACAAGATTCAATGCAGTAAAAGCAACAAATTCTTTATTCTTTAAAGGAAAAAGGTTCACTTCTGCAAGCTGGTGGCTCAGAAGAAAGGTTAGAATGATTCAAAACCTATTGGACAAATGCCAACAACTACCCCACTTCTGACTGGAACATTCTAAGAGCCTCATGTTGATATCTTCATAATATATACACACAAAAAAAACAATCTCTTGTTTTCATTGCTGCTTTGTGTCTGGGTAAATATCCACCACTAGCCACCTCCATTTTGAGCAGTGAACAGCTGTTAACTTAATAATGAGTGAATGCAGTTGGCAAGTGCTTTTTCAGTGTCTAAACCTGGCTTTAAAGCTTTCTGTGGCATCTTGTTTAATAACTATGATTTGACTTATAGAGAATTTGCAGGTAACTATTTCAAATGAATAATTATACAAAAAAAATCCTATACAAAGCTTTACTCTGACTTGTGGCTGTATACATTAATACAATTTTTAGTATTTTTGAAATAGACTGTTATCAGTTGTACTCAGAGTCATCTTTCACTCTATCCTCTTTACCATTCTTTCTTTTATTTGCTCCTGCTTTTTCCATAGGAACTTTCTTGGGTGAGGCTTAAAAGAAAAAAAACAAAACCAAAAAGCTTATGATCAGTACAACATTCCATAGTACTTTGGACCCCTTCTATCACCTTTGTAACAAAACTGCAGCTTCAATTTCTCNTGCAATTATTATAATATTGAGTCAGTTGGTGTTCTGTCTTAGAACTGCATATGTTGCTTCTCCATGAACACACATGCAATGTATAAAGAAAAATATCTTAGATAAGGATTTTTACCATAATTGATTGAAGTTTAAAACTATCTATCACAATTTTTAAAACCTGGACAGTCCAACAGTCTGGATAATAAATTTAAAACTGTAACCTTTACCTTTCTTTTCTTTATGATTTGTTTTATTTGTTGCTTCAGGCTTTTGCTTCTTTGTGTTGGTTGTACTGACACCTTGAATAGAGAAGGTTCACAAAAATTCAATACTAACAATTTCTGACAAACTTAAACAGCTACTGTATTTTTTTTAACTGTCCATATTAGTGTATGAGTTGCACATTTTTATTGAAAGATGTTTAATTCAAAACAGGGGTGCAACTTCTGTCTAAGAACATCTCACTGGAAATTGTGTCCCAATTTGACATATAAATCAATGTATGGATGCACCTGTATTTAAATTCAGAAGGGCAAGAACAGAGTAAGAGGAATTAGTCACAAAAGGATGCTTGAGAACCAAAGTTTTTTAGCATGGCAGTTCTTTAATTCCTGTTGCTCAATACACCTATTTTGGGTAGTACAGTTTCATTTAGAATGCTGAAACAAAGACCTTACAGTTGAAACATTTAAGCATTAAAGCGAACAAGAACTAGTTCTATTCTTCTTTTGGTTGCCTTTTGATTTTCAAAAACCTCTTGGCTTAAGTTCTCTGATAATGAGACATAAAACTCCTCAGTTATACTACGAGAATATCCACTGCTAGCCACCTCCATTCCAGTGAATATAGTTCAGCATGTTAACTTAATAATGAATGAATGCAGTTGGCAAGTACTTTTCCTGTGTCAAAACCTGGCTTGAAACCTTACTGTAGCATCTTGTCTCATGACTATGATTTGACTTATAGAGAACTTGCAGGTAAGTATTCCAAATGAATAATTACACAAAAAGATCCTATACAAAGCTTTACTCTGACTTGTGGATTTATGACATTAATACAAGTTTTAGTATTTTTAAAATACACCATTATCAATTGTTGTGATTCATCTTTCATCTTATCCTCTTTACCATTCTTTCTTTTATTTGTTGCTGGTTTTTCGGTGAGAACTTTCTTGCATGAAGCTTAGAAGAAGAAAAAGAAAATAACAAAAAGCTTCAGTACAACATTCCATACATTGGACTCCTTCTATCACCTTTGTAACAAAATTGCAGTTTCAGTTTTTTTTTAAAAATGACTCTCCATGCATGTGATAATTGTTGTTAATATTGAAACCTTTGGGGAGCCCCTTAGGTACTGTTCCGACGTATTATAATGTAATCGCGTGCACGCATGCGCCGTTCAGTTCGTTACCACGAGGTTTTTCGACATGGCTTTTCCTCCATGTTTGTTGTGAACTTTTACCGTCGGTTTATCCTTAAATAAAGGATCAAATGTTTTTCAAATTGCAATCCGGCTGAACAGGTACTTCTGAGTGACTTGCATGGGCACCCCGAAAACGGGAAGCCATGTACATCGTGTTGTTGACTTTTCGAGTCGATGGGCATGTTGAAAAGCTCGTTACTAGTTGTTGAGTTTATGCTTGATTGAATGATACTATAACAAGGTGTCAGGAGTGAGATCCTGCTTTGCCGCAATGTGAGACAAGTTGATGGGACAAGCAAGTTTCCTGTGAGTTGCATTTCTGTATCTAAGGCCGCTAGTTACTCAGTTGACGCACGAGGAAAACGAGGGTAACACGGTAAAACGAGGTAAAAATACACTTCAATTTGTATTGACCCAAGGGACCTAAACAAAGTTCTTAAGAGGCCACACTATCCAATGGTTACTGTAGAGGAGGTTGCCAACCGGTTATCAGGTGAAAAGAGTTTCATGTCCGTGGATGCTTGCAGTGGATACTGGCAGCTCCCGCTGGACAATGAGAGCTCAAAGCTCTTAACATTCAATACATCCTGGGGTCGATATCACCAATACAAGGCTCCCTTTTGGCATCTCTTCTGCCCCTGAAATCTACCAAAGGGAGATGGACAAACTCTTTGAAGGAGTTCCTGTGGGGATTATAGTGGATGATTTCCTGATAAATGGTAAGGATCAAATCGACACTGATCAGAAATTGAGAAGAGCACTGGCTAGAAGCAGAGAAGTTGGATTGAAGTTCAATCCAATAAAAGTGAAACTTCGTGTTCCTGAAGTAAGTTATGTGGGACATGTGTTCTCGGCCGATGGATGGAAACCTGACCCTGATAAGATCCACGCAATCAGTGAGATGCCTCCTCCTTCTGACAAAGAAGGTGTACTTCGAATACTAGGAACTGTCAATTACTTAGTTAAGTTCATTGAACACAAAGCTGGTCTACAAAAGCCAATTTCACAGCTTACCCAGAAAGATGTGGCACTTGTGTGGGAGAAGCCACAACAAGAGGCATTTGATAAGCTCAAGTCTGTCATCACTAGTGCACCAGTGTTAGCAGACTTTAATAACAGCAAAGAGACAGTGCTAAGTGTTGATGCCAGTAACACAGGCCTTGGTGCAGTAATCATGCAGGAGGGCAAACCAGTTGCCTTCAGTTCGAAGACATTGACTCCCTCAGAGCAGGTGTATGCAAATATTGAAAGAGAGCTGTTGGCGATTGTATGGGGAGTACAAAGTTTCACAGATGTGTATGGGCGCAGAGTTGTTGTTGAGACAGACCACAAACCGTTGGAGTCAATCTTTTGGAAACCAGTGAATGAGGCCCCTCCAAGGCTACAGAGGATGTTGCTGAAACTCACCAAGTATGACCTTGTGGTGCATTACGTTCCTGGAAAACAGCAGGTCATTTCAGACTGCCCTAGCAGAGCACCTCTCAGTGAAACTAAACCATTCCGTAAACGCGAAGATGTCATAGGAGTTAATCTTGTTGAGGAACTTGGATTAGAAAGCAGTATTCTGAAGAGATTCAAGGACAGCTCACGTGCTGATGAGACATCTAAAGTACCGTAAACGTCCATGTATAAGCCGCATCCATAGATAAGCCGCACCCCCGATTTGGAGGCGCAGAATTTGGAAGAAAACAAAAACAATACAGTTTGAAGTTTCAGTAGAGTTGTATTGCTACAAACAATCAAGGTTTCGAAACACCGACACAGAAGTTGTGGCTATCTTTCACATTTATCAAGTCTAAAGAAAGTGAAATTTCATTTGTCGTCCCTTCTTTTTCATTGGAATTTACACCATTTACACCATAAAATGCTCTTTCGATCCGATTTTTTGAGATTATCACTTCTGATTTGGGGACTGGGTCGAGTAAACAATAAAGCATTATTGTTTGCATCATCGCAGTTCCAACATGGAGAAATTTACTTTCGACTCAGCTGTTCGGGGATACCACGTGTATAAAGATGTTTGGAAACCCGCAATAGGCGAAAAACTTCATGCAGAACAGGAGCCTGATAATGCAGTCGACAAATTTGCCATGAAGGTAGTAAAAAACGAAACAGTCGGCCATTTACCTCGCGAATTTTGTGGTACTTTATCACACGTGGCAGACAGATATGCGTGGAAGTGACAGGCCGCAGACGTCACTGCAGACAGCTGTGCGGAGGAATGCAGATTCCTTGTATGTTGGTGTTGAGTTGTTCGAGTAAAGCGAAAATTAATTGCTTGAAAGAACTCTTGGAGAGCAAGATTCGCCGATAAACACTCTTTTAGGAGTTTGAAAAAGTCAATGAACTACAGCAACATGCTCTCAGTTTCTTTTATGTTTATTTATTGGCATCTTAAGAAGTTTTCTGAATATTAATGAGGTTTTTGAGAACTCCAAACACAGATGTATACACGGATAAGCCACACAATCGATTTTTGGCTTCAATTTTGTAAAAAAAAGTGCAGCTTATACATGGACGTTTACGGTGGTTATGGAGTACAATTTGAGAGGATGGCCCTCTGAGAAAGAACAAGTCGAGGAACTTGCCCGGGAATATTGGAGTTTCAGAGAAGAGCTGAGTGTTGAAGATGGCATGTTATTTAAATCAGACAGAATTGTAGTGCCAAGACCAATGAGAGCTGAAGTGTTCGATGAAATTCATGGAGCCCACATGGGAGAGAACAAGAGCCTTTCTTTTGCGAGGGATTACGTTTTCTGGCCTTCCATGACTGCACAAATCAAAGACAAAGTCAGTTTCTGTGCTGTGTGTAATGCGTTCCGCAACCGACAACAGAAAGAGTCATTACATCCTCATGACATTCCAGGATTACCTTGGCAAGTAGTTGGGACTGACCTGTTTCAATATGGTGGCCAAATGTACCTGTTAGTTACTGACTTCTATTCGAAGTACTTCGAAATAGAACTACTTCACCAGAACACTGCTATTTGTGTTATCAACACCTTGAAGAAAATATTTGCCAGGTTTGGAATCCCTGAGAAAGTTGTCAGTGACAACAGACCGCAGAACAGCAACACCAGACATTTGCTAAGCAAAAACCATGAGTTCAAGAGATTCACTGAAGAGTGGGGATTTTCCCCTACAACCAGCTCACCAGAGTATCCCCAATACAATGGTGCAGTGGAAAGAGCTGTACAGACCGCAAAACGCATTCTTAAGAAGGCTGCCGCAGAGAAAAAAGACCCATTTGAGGGACTGTTAAAGTATCGTAACACCCCATTCAAAGAAATTGGTGTGTCACCTGCACAGCTGCTGATGAGTTGGCGCACTCGAACAATGTTACCAACTCATCGACGTCTCTTCTTACCTCAGCCAGTGGATCATGATCATGTTCTGAAAACGCTTCATCATCGACAGCATAATGCCAAGTCTAATTACGACAGGCAGAGTAGAGATTTGCCTCCACTTCACGTTGGGGACAGCGTGTGGTTTTGTCCAAATGGTGAGAAGGAATGGCGCAAAGCAGAAATTATGCCAAGATCATACATGCTGCAAGATGAATATGGACGTACTTACAGGAGAAACAGAAGGCAGATCATCACTGTTCCAAATGATTCTCCCATGACACTGAGGACAAGGGCTCTTCCCAAGAGTACACAAACTCATGACTCTCTTCCAAGTACAAGACCGGCGCCTGTACTTGAGAAGCCAGTGTCAACTCCAGTCCCATCAGAGAGACAGACAGAAACAATTGGACCCCCTCCCATTACAACCAAATCTGGGTGTCAAGTTAGGAGGCCGCAGAGACTCATTGAATCACGTTAGGGGGGAGTTGTAATAATGAAACCTTTGAAGATCCCCTTAGGTACCTCTAAGTGACTTGCACGGGCACCCCGAAAATGGGAAGCCATGAGCGTTGTATTGTTGAACTTTTGATTCGGCGGGTGTTCTGTCTTATAACTGCAAATGTTGCTTCTTCATGAACACACATACCATGTATAAAGGAAAATATCTCAGATAAAGATCTTTTACCATCATTGACTGAAGTTTAATACTATCTTAAACTATCCTAATGTTTAAAACCAAGACAGTCAAACAGTCTGAATAATGCATTTAAAACTACCATCTTTACCTTTCTTCTCATTATTATTTCTTTTATTGGTAGCTTTAGGCCTTTGCTTTTTTGCGATGGTTGTACTGGAACCTTAAATAGATAACGTCACAAAAATCAGTACTCAAAATGTCTGACAATCTAAAGCAATTAAACACAGGCATATATATATATATATCTGCCAGGCTCTACGTCAGTGCATAGGGAAATGAAGCCTGCCCTCTGTTCCCTTTTTTGTCTCAAATGATAAACACCCTGGAACAAGCCATAACGGAATGAATCAAAAATTTAAACCTTTTCCGTTCTTCTCCTTTTTGTTCATCTTAATGGGAGCTCCAGCTTTCCGTCTTTCAGTGGTGGTTTTCTTGGAAACTTGAATAGACAATGTTCAAATTGATTCAGAGCTTAGAAAGCCTCACCTACTAAAAAATTAAAAACTTTTACAATACATAAAACTTATCAGGCTCATTTTATTTGAGAATAATCCATTTCACAGTTGATAATAAAAGGTTGAGTTTGTCACAAAATAGACGAGAAACCCAGCAAGGTTTGTAAAGTAATTATCAAGAACGTCACGCTTGACCCCATTCTTGTTGTTTCTCAACTAATTGTGCAACTGTGAAATGGAACATTCAAAGAACTTTACAATCAATAATTGAAAGTTAATTCTGAAACAAAATCTGGAAACTAGCACTATACATTAACTGGCCACAAACGCATAGCAACATTCAGTTGGTCAGCTCAGGTACCACAGGAAACTACAGTCTGTGTAACTTAATTATGTCATTGTACAACTAATGTAAAAGTTGCTTTTTGGAAGCTCTTGAGAGCATATCTCAGAGCTCCAAGAACATATCTTTGACATTGGTCTGGGCAAAGGAAAAGGAAGCTAAATGTTTACATATGACACAAATGCACACTTTCCCTTAAACAGCACTTTGTTCCCCATGTACCTTCAGGCTAAATGTCCAAAATGGTGACCTTTGTATCTGCAGTTCTTAGGAAATATTACTGCACTGTAACTCACTCTTGATCAACAAATGATTCATGCTTTGGAGTGGATTACAAGAAAATTAACTTCAAATTTGGGAGGCCAATTGTAGGGTTCTGGTAACAGTAAAGCTTTTACATTATGTAAAAATGGACTTAGCCAGCAACTACAACCTTTTGACCAAAAGCATACAATGCAAATTTCATCAACATTTTAACCCAGAATTGACAATGAAATCCACACCAAAACTCTTCCGCAATTCACAAATAGAAAAAGAAATTGGC